TTATAATATTTGTTAATAAAATAATTGACGATATATATAAATTTAATTCTAACTTTAATACTTTTTTTGATTTAAATAATTATTTTACTAGTTTGGAATTAGAAAATAAACAATTAAATTCAATAAAGTCTAAATCCTATTCAACTCTTATGAATCTTATAAATATAATTAACAAAATTAACTCAGATATTAAAAATCATAAATAACAAATATTTTGCAATATACTATTTCTACTGTTTAGAAGATTAAAAGCTTATATAAAGAAAAAGACTATTTTTTTTATTTAAAACATCATAGGAATAAGCTTTGCAATAGAGTCTATTCTTCAAAATAGTAATCCATTCAATTAGAATAAATATATAATTAAATTTTATTTTTAAACTAGAAGAAAAAATTTTAGAGTAAAGCTTATATCTGTAAGATACTCTTAAGAACTGTTTTATAATAAAAAAACAATTAACTATAATTGATATATAATATATTCAAAATAAGTATGTCATATGTAAACTCAAAAAGCTATTGTTTTTTTTTTTTTTTGTTTTTTTTTTTTTAGAGGCAAAGTGCATTACATGCAAACTTTATTAACTTAGCATTGAAGTTACAATCATTACATGAAGAGTCTGACTAACTATATTAGCTATTCTAACCCTAGCACCGCCTCTAATTCTAACCTGGCTACCAACTAACACCCCGGAGGTGGGTTCGCAATCCAGGCGTGGTCTATTCAAAGGGCACAAAAAGTTATTGTTTTGTAAGCCCTATGGGTATTTACTATATAAATATAAATCTGTATATATAGCAGAATTTTTTTATTTTTTTAAAAATTATCAGATAGTATTTATATTATATAAATAAATAAAGACACCATACTCTTTATATTTATTTTTTATTTAATAATTTCAATAAACTATTATTATCTATCAGTGAATTGATATTAGTTGTCATCTTTACAATTTTGATACAAGATATTTTCATATTATCCAGGCTTATTTCTATTTTGCTTATTTTGATAAAATAAATACAAAGTAATAAAAATTTAATCTAGGCAAACATTACTCCAATTCAAAATTTATCATAAATGATATAAAGCTTATTTACAAGTATTGGTAGTTTTTATAGTTTCTGGTTTAGATGACTTTGAATTGTTAGAATGATTGATTTTGATAATAGAACTTTTATTGGTTTTAGAAATACTTCTTTTATTAATTTTGTAAATATTACTTTCATTACTCTAGGAGTTAATATTGTTGTTGCTACTTATTTTCACAATCCTGAATATAGAATAATGGTAAGTACAAATGTGTTTTAATAACAGTACAATTAATAGTGATATATTATTTAAAATTAGTGATATAATCATTATTAGAATCCAGCTTAAAAGAGAAAAAAGTGATATATTTTATATTATCCAGAGCCGTTAAGTCTATTTCAAAACCAAATACATTCTCATTATTTTTTTGCTTAATAACCACTTAACATAAGTCAGATTTTCCCATGTTCACAACTGATAAAACACTTCTTAAATTTAACAATCTCTTTTGCAATATAATGATCTTGACAATCTGGAAAAATGCCAGGTCATTGCTACATATGAATTGTGATAAAACTACTATCGAGAAATGATAAGCCCATTCCCCTATAGCCCTTTTTAACTTATTGCAGGTTTTTCTTATCAGAAAATAGATTATAAGAAATAGCCAGTTTGTAAGCTACGAATTCATATCACGTGTAAATTAAATCCGCAAATCAGGGATAGGCGTAGAAGTTTGTACAACATGGATAATCGTTATTTTCTGCTTTCAAGAAGGGGCAGACCGACATTTTCCATTAGTGCGTATGTCAAGGGACTTATGTCTTGGGAAGTCAAAATCTCCACAATCTCCGGATCTTCATATGTCTGCCAACTTTGTAACCTGCGTAATCTATATATTATAAAAAGCCACAGATTTACTTAAAAATAAACAAAAAAAAAAAAATCATTTCTTTCTTGCATTATCTCACTTCAGCCGGGGGGCATAACACATCGCATAAACCAGAATTTATTTACACCATATACCATATAAAAGTTACCATGTCTTCGCACGATTCAACGCCTTCTTCACCCATTTTTACATCCTCTACATTAACGGAAGAAGGACTACTCTCACGATGGGAAACGTTGTTAAAGATTTCGATACCGAGGAACTTATTGACTATTTGCGGAGGCAGGATCTGAAACTTAATGAGGCAGATTTCAAAATATTTACAAGGAAAGAATCTCTGGTTTCGACTTTCTTGAATTAACCAAGGAGGACTTTCGTGGTATTGGTTTTGCTTTGGGTCCTGCAACAAGACTTACGAAATTTATTGAAGGCCTGGAACAAAAACTGAGAAGTTTCTCAATTAAAAGAGGTACTCCGCAAATATAAAGTCCATGGTGAGGATATTATGAACATCAAGCAATTCACTCTAGGTATGTGGCATTTTTTCTTGACAAAAACCGTTACCAATTGTAACGATCAAATTTCCAGATATAATAACTCGCTTTTTTCTGTTTATAGATTCCGTAAAAATCAATGATGACGACAAAGCCCTCGGACAATGTATGAATAAAATAGCGTTGAGACTTACGAATTTAGAAACGATGCAGACTAATGCCAACGAGGCCATACGATATGTATTCATTACATCCATATTAAACGCATCGCAGGCTATCGTTCGAATACAAATGAGGAAGAAATTTACATATCATATCAAAAAAACGTATCCGGTGAAGAGGCATCCGGTCGTGTCGATTATGCGATAAAAGGAAAGGAAGATCTTATGTGCATAGCCAAAGGAAAGCCCCGTAACGTCGAAATTGGTTATCTCCAGAATATTATGCAATTAGAGAGCGCATACCATACAAACAAAAAGAAACGTACGGCTGATGAAGCTTTCAAGGATGATTATGATTATATCTACGGAATAGTATCTACAGGTATATATATATTTTCCTGATATTTTTTCCGGATGACCTGTTAGCAAAATTTTAATTATATATTTTTACCAATTATCGCTTAATATTTTTAGCCACAGAATGGCATTTCATCATATATACAACTGAAGGTATTTATTCTACCAGTAAAAGCGAATATCAAATTAACCTTTCTAAGATGGCGCTTAAAGAAGATCTTGACTCTATTCGAAAAGGCGTAAAACGGGTGTTAGGTGTAATTGTTGGATTATTAAAGGATTGGGTCAGCGTAGATAATTTCCCCACCAGTAAAAAAGCCAGGATCGAAAAATTTACAAAGTAATGAATAGATTTCCCGCTTCACATGTACATGGCGTAACCGTAGTATTTTATTTATATTACAGATATTAATAAAGACTTTTTGATTTACGTTAATATACATTCGCACTGACAAAATATGGGACAATGATCCATCCGGGGGTAACAATACATACAGTATATAGATTAACGGCAAGGGATCATCTATACAAATATTCTAATTTTGGATTTATATCGGAGCAGAACTTTTTGTGAATAAATACACTTTCCCCAAAAGATAAGATGCCTATACTAAATCGAATAAACAGTTACGTGACTTTAGTGTTGTATTACTTTCATTCGCAGTCACAAAGTAGTTAATTCATATGTTTTTAGAATCGATCGAAGGCAAGGCTATTGCAAAAAGAAATTAATCGAGTTAGTTAGAAGATCAATCAATTGTTGAAGTTCGTAGTACGAGCAACTAACGTCATATCTTTAGAGTCTGGGCCTTTCCCATTATATTTTATTATCTTTCGCCACAGAGTAAAGTTTTGATTATTAATGTTGATATAACAAGAGCAAAGAATTGCCGGAGGCAGTCGCACAGTGGTTATTGATCCAATTAACACATTTCACATACGTAAAGTGTAGGGTGTTACCCATGACTCTTTGAGTCGCCCTATGGGCCTGCTCTGCAATAAAAAGTTCTGGCAGTTTCTAGCCCTTTACCTTCCAGTCTATAAATAAATTCAGATCTGATTTTTTTTTTATAAAAAGGTCGAGGAATTCTTTGATCTATCCTTTACGAACTAAGGGGATTAAACAATTAATCATATCCACGATAAATTTCATACTCTCAAGACAATATCCCGCCTTTTCATGATTACATCTCCCGAAGCCAGAAAATAGGAATTTCCGTTAATGTATGTCGACATCCATTTTTCGTTTGTTTGTATGACACCCCACACCCTCGTGCATATATGCTAACGAACATTTTTCCGGTTATACAGTAGATGACATCGCTTATTGTTTCGAGGATCGCTCCATTCTTGGACTTCGCCGACCTATTGTTATTCGTGGAGAAAATGTCATTTTACTTGATCGCTGATGCCACGTTTTATTTTTACGTTCCGCAAAGAAAGACATCATCGACACCAAGGATAGCCACTGTGTGTCTACCTCCGGCAATTCCGAACTTAATTCCGATCTTTCTGCGCATAACACTATGTCTAATGAAATTGCGCCCAAATTCGAATCAATCGAGGAATCTATTGTAACACTCCAAAACAAGGTTATTAAACTTCGAAACAACTTACCGGATCAACAAAATAATGGCAATCAACAAGATGATAATCATTCCGAAACTTCCAATTCGAGCCAGCGTTCATTTTCCGATAAATCTGGAACCAATTTAAAGTTACTTTTGATAGAATTATGGCCGAAAAAGCGTGTTCTTTTGATGATATGTGTGGCATTGTTGCCGTTGATATTCTTAATATTAGAGTCGAAAACTAAGTAGAGATATGATTAAAAATTTTTATCATAGAATTAACGATTTAAAAGGCAGTAACTTGGATAAAATCGGTTCGTGGATCGACAGTAAAACACGAATCACGTACTGTATACGTGTATATAGCATTGCCATCATAAAGATTTGAATTTTTTAACTGTATCGGAAATACGTATCGAGTTGCGAGTCAATACGTATACGTAACATTTGTCATCATAGAAATCCTTAAAACCGGGTTTTCCACCCACATTCATCATGGAAAAAGTTGAAATGTTCTTCTCAACCCTCTCCTGGTTTACTTACGCCACGGTACCTCCAGTGTGTGCATTTTTCGGCTGGCTGGTCTGTATGGCGCATTTCCACACTCTGCAAACTCTGCTAACAATTATGTTACTTCCTTCGTCGTCTCCCTAACTTATTTCCAATTCGTATTCTCTAGGCTTTCCCTTTCGCCTTTTTTACTTCGATCTTGGCAATTGTATTTGGTACTGTACAGTTGTGGAAAGGTGAGAATTATAACATCGATAAATGAAAAATTATATTTCAGTGTTGTTATATAACCTAATTTACACAGCAATAAGCAACCTCACTAATCCTCTATCCAACGAGTAGGTATTACGTATATGTTATCTGGGTCATTAGTTAACAAATAATTACTCATTTTTACATTATTTTTAGAATGTCTGAATACTCTAATTTCGCATCTACCAATGAGGCGCTTAAAACCATTTTTTCGCAAGCCTCTGATGAAGAAATTGCAAAGTACGAGAAGCAACTTGATACTGTGAAAATTTTCGACCCAGTCCTTATAATTACTCCAAATCAAACTTGGATCAATCAGCATGGTTTGCCAGCTTATAACGCTGTCATGGATGCTTTTGCAACAAACGGCCTTCAAAATAGGCGCAGAGATAGGAACTCTCGTAGCATTTTTCATTTCACAGAGAACGAAGAACTCTACACCGTACGTAGAAATGTTCGCAATCTTATCCCCAATGCCTTCTTTGTTCCTACTTCCCTCCAATCTCAACTCTCTAATGCTCAACTGCACCCCGTTGGAACGGCCTGGATACTATTAAAAGTGGCGGCACTTAAAAGTGATTTCGGAGAAGATGAAAATTTCTTTCATGTAATTTGAGAACCTAACAGGGATAAGCGAAATCTCGATCGTCTTTTATTAGTTGATTCAATAAGCCATGCCATTATGTGTTCGCATATGATTTTTCATGTATAATTTTCTACTATTAATAAAGCTGACCCATGAGGTCTATCGCTACATATGATCGGACAATTGTCCCGAAGTACAGGTTAAATTCAATCGACCCCATTCAATAAGACCCAATTCTCGAAGATGCTCTGGAATAACCATATATGGGTCTTCGTAATACGAGACATATCTTAAAACAATCCAGTTTTCTTCGCAGGGTTCTTTTTTGATCTGATCACGCGTCAATTGCTTTTGAAATACTTCCGGATCTTTGTGAAAATACTTTGTGTTGCTCATGCTGTTTACCTTGTACTTCTATAGCAAATCCGTACTGTGGATAATAGATGTCGAGTTCTAATCCTCGAGGATACTTTGGTGTTTTCAAGAAATCTGGTCGGCGGATACTGGAAGGTGGACCAAGAATGTTAGTTATGACTTTGCGACATAGATTTTCGTGTTTATTTAAGCAATATGGGCACCAATATTTAACATGCTTAATACTATTAAAGTTAGCGAATCATTTATGACCTTGATTACACATCCATTGTATCGGAACACAGAGATTTATATATTCTATAGAAAGACACATACCTCCTTTACTGTGAGCGATTTCCTTAACTTCCGAAAGATCACAGGGAAAATTACCAGCACATTGTGAGCACCATCTTCCCATACTTTTTATTCGATAAAGAGTTGTGGACCATTCATGTCCTTTGATGCATCTCCAAAGCATTGAAGTAGTTGCATTAATATATTCTATAGAAAGGCATTTACTACCTCGTTGTTGTGCAACATTGAGAAATCGACACTGCCGACACCAAGTTCCATTAATAATATCTTTTGCTGAAGCCTTCCACTTATGGCCTTCTTTACACTGCCATTCAAGAGGATCTTGTCTATTAATATACTCAATTGCAAGGCAAAGACTTCCCTTTTTTTCTGCGAACTCCCTCATATCTTCAATCGTTCGAGTATGACGATTTCCAATAGCACACTTTGGACACCAGGTAATATGATTTTTTACACTATGAAGCTTAGTAGACTATTCATGATTTTTAATACATTTCCAAAGCATCGGAGTGTTATTATTATTAATGTATTGTTCAGAGAGACACACACCTCTACTATGTGCGATTTCTTTAGCAGTATCTATAGTTAATTTTGCCATTAACATTGTATACCAAATTTTTAAAAGGCCGGCAGATTTCCTCCTTTGAAACATCCTGCTACTCGATCATTTAATTAGCCGGGTCCCTACCTTCTCATTTTACAAAAACAATAAAGATATGATTTGACCTTTTTAATTATGCATGCTGAATAATTTTCTTCGTTATCTTAGTTTCGCCGGGGATCGTGTTATACTATAGCGTATATATTCAGAAAAACCGACATGGTGCTGGTATTCCACGTAATTAAGCTTCTCATACGTAGAAAAATAATTAATATCATTCGTGCCGAAATTCATACAACATTCGAAAGCCGATGCGTGGACCAAATATCACCTGCCGAGATGCATGTATTGGTAAACGTGATCAGCATAAATACATACCTGATTATTGATGACGCCTATCTCCCCTTCCCACGCTTCTTTTCCGCGAAAGTATATGCTAGAAATTTTTTATTTCTAATGACTCGTCGGATAGCACCGCTTTTGTACGTTTCAACCAAATAGTTATTATATCACAGACCTTTTTTCTTATCTCACCACGGACTGCTACGATGGAGACAACTAACTTGACCAATAAACGGAAAGAAGGCGTTACGTCGGAAGAAGCACCACCTACGAAGAAGTTGTCACGAGAAGCCCGCAGACGTAGAAATAAAAGGCTTAAGTGGGAGCGTGAGCACAGGCACAAACAGAATGAACCGTCCCAAATACCAGAAGAAAAGATACCACCCGTTTCAGACCTTTCTACTGAGATTAATATTACTTTTGATCCGTCGAGGGTTAGGTTTTATTAATACCTTACTAGCTTGTTAGCCCGGGCTATGCTCTGGGATTAAGATAATAAAGTATTTTATATATTAAAATGTATTAAATATTATAATTTAATAAAATAAATTTATATTTAATACATTTTATAATAAATTGTATTAATTGTATTAAATTATATAAAATTATATAATAATCTATAAATAATAACTCATTTCTTGAGTTATATTGTAGGATTAAAAATATTGTTATATTTTATAATATAAATAAATTAAAGTATATTAAATTGTAAATTTAAAAATATTATTAAAATTATACTTTGAAATAAAAAATATCAAAATATTTTATCTGTTGAAATATTTAAATTTAATTAAATCATATTATTATATATTTTTATTTGTTTAACTTAAATAATAAATATACAGTGCCCCCCAATAAATGAAGGACCACTTAAAAATTATTAAAATTAATCGAAAATAGTTTCTATATTTCAA